TGGAAAAAGTTGGGCCAGGGGTGGAAGGCCCTTAGAGGAGACACTGGGGTCCTGGGCCTTCCTCTCCTCTCTTTGCTTCCTGGATGCCAGGAGGTCAACAGGCTTCCTCTGCCACACGCTCCCACCATGACGCACTATAACACCAAGACCCAAAGCAACAGGGCCCAATAACCATGGACTGAAACCTCTGAGACCATGAGCCAAAATAACCCTTTTTTCTTTTAAAACAGATTCTCTTGGTTTTTGTTTGTTTGTTTGTTTGTTTTGTTTTCAATCACAGTAACAGAAAGCTGACTAACACGGGGGTGGGAGGGATGAGGGATAAGTCCCAGATTTAGGGGCCAGATGTGCAAAGAGACAGAGATTGGAAAGTTGCTGCCATGGTTGAGCACCTGCTCTGGAGAGTGGGCTATGTGACAGCGACTAAGTTGGAGAGACAGAGAAAGGTGGAGGCCTGTATCTGGGAGCGATGGCAGTACCCCCTCATCCGTGGTTTTGAACTTTGAAGTTTCAGTTATTCATGATCAGCCACAGGCTAAGAATATCAAATGGAAAATTCCAGAAAAAAAGACAAGTTGTAAGTTTGCAATTATGCACCGTTCTATGTAGCACAATTGATGAAATCTCATGCCATCCTACTCTGTCTAGTGTAGGACGTGAACCTTCCCTTTTTCCAGTGTATTCCCATTGTATATGCTACCCACCGTCAGTCACCAAATAGCCACGGTACATAGTATATATACCCATAGTTTGCTACTATGAGGTTTCAGGCATGCCCTAGGGTCTTAAATGCATTCCCCACTGGTAATGGGGCATACTGCACTAACAAACACAGATGGTCAGGTGGTTTACTATTCCCAAGTATTCATTTTGTGCCAATAAGCAAAGTACATATCTTTATGTAGGCTTATACATATGCATACATATGTTGTATGTTTATAAAGTTGTCTCTGGGCTTGGTGACTGGCGGTGAGTGGGTGGAAATGACAATGAGCACAGGGTAGAGGCTTTAAGAGATGTTACATCATCTCTTGCTCCAGTTTACTATGAAAACAGTATATACCAGCCTGGGTGTGGCGGCACACGCCTATAATCCCAGCATTCGGGAGGCTGAGACAGGAGGATCTCTGTGAGTTCGAGACCATCCTGGGCTACATAGTAAGATCCAGTTCAGTCTCGACTACATAGTGAGACCCTGTCTCCAAAAAAAAGAAAACAGCATATACCAGAAGCAGCTCCCTCAGCCTGGATCCTACACTGAGAAGACCCTCTGTCTTAAAGGCACTTTTCTCTCATTGCTGAGACAAAATACTCGACACCCAAATTTAAAGGGGGAAAGGTTTACTTAGCTTACAGTTTATAGGGGTTTCAGTCCATAATTGGCTGGCTCTTAAGACAGAGTGGCAGGGCAGATGGGCATCACAGAGAACAAACAGTTCACAGTGGGCAGAAGGTAGCAAAGCAAACAAAAGCCCTTAGCATCTTCTTTCTGCCCATTTTAATACTCTATCTAGGCTACCAGGGCTAGGGCAGTGCCAAACCAAACAGTGGACTGATTTAGTAATCACACCCTCTTAACCTCAGCATCATACACTCTAGATTCAGCCACCTCTGAAAAAGCACAATTGCATGACTGCATGAAGCCAGCTCCAAACCATAACACCCTTGGAGCAAAGCTTCCATCTGGCTGGAATCTAGAGCTGAGCCCCCAAACCTAGTACCACGACTGGCCCACAGCTAACATCTTACATGAACCATAAACAGATGCCTCAAGACCCAAGTTTGAGGTAGTTTGGTATACAGCATAATTGCAGCAAAAGCTAGAAAGGATGCGTGCTCTGTATGTTATGATTTATATCCAGATGCCCGCTCCAAAGTCTCATGCACTCGTAGGCAGGACTTTAGGGAGGTGAGTGGATCACGGAGATGTGATAATCATCAGTGGATTAGTCTACAGGTGAGTTTGTGAAACTGAATGTAATGTGGGGAGGTGGAGATGGCTGAGGGAGATGTGTTACTGGGGTTGTCTCCTGGAAGAGCTTATCTCCCTCCTCCATTCCCCCCCTCTGTTGTCCTCCACCGTGAGTCTCTGCCGTGCCATCCTGCAGTACAGCCAGTGGACTATGGCCTGAAATTTCTGCAAGCTGTGACCCAAAATACACCTCTCCTCCTGTGGGTATTGAGTCTTTTGTCTGAGAAACAAGAAAAGCGACTAAGACAATACACGAGGTGAGAAGTACAGATTGTGCTGCTCCACGAATGCTACAATAAAAGGCGCTGTGATGAAGGAGGAATCACAGAAGGTTTTCATTGATGAATTTCATCTTCATTCACTCATTGGTGTCCGAGGTGGAGACGCCTGTCCTTATTTCAAAGCCGCAACTCCCCATTGTCTCCTGCTCTTCCCAGTGCCTAGTTCCATCCATCCTTCCTCCCCTGGACTAAATCGTTCCCTGAATCTTCATGCCTCACGAGTCTTTCCGGCCTAAAAAAAATCTCTCCCTTCATCCTGTCACCTGGCACCTCCCTGGAGTTCAATCTCTCTTCTAACCTTTTCAAATAAATTTAAATGGGTGACTAAGCTCAGTCTCCACTTCTTGGCTGTCACCTACATGGGCAATCTAGCTTGCTTGTCTTCCACTCTGCCCAAACTGCTCTCTGTATATTTCAGTAACCTCCTAACTTCCCAATACAACTTCTAGTCCTTACTTCCACAGACTGCTCTGTGCCATTCAGCAGTGAACTTAACTCGTTGTCTCTCCCACCCCAACATTCCTCCTCCCTTCTCCACTGAGGGACACTACCATTCATCCAGCCAACCTTGACTGAAAGCCGTCATGAGACAAAGAAGTCTGTCTGGACATGTGAGTTTGCAGTGTCTTGAGACCTCCAAGCAGAAATGCCCACTGAGCACTTAAACACATGAGTTAGGAGCCCCAAATTGGACAGAAGATGGAAGCTATTAAAAACATATGTAAACCCATGAACATTCTTGAGCTTGCCCAGTCTACAGAATACAAGTACCAAGTCTGTAAGTCCCAGCTGACATAGTGAAACCTCTTCTGAACCTAGAAATCCCTGTTACTAAGGCAGCAAGTCTACCTGCCATTTGGTTCCTTCCCTAAAATGGGAAATCCTGGTCTACCCCACCTGGTCTACCCCACCATCTTGTTTCATACATTTGCCCCTGTTCATTTAAAGCCAGAATTCGGTCATAAAAAAAAAAAAAATAGAATGTCAAAATCACAATGAGACACCACCAACCAGTCACTAAAATGACTACAGGCAAAAAGACCAACAAACCACCAAACAGTATCAAGGTGCAGAACAATCCTACCTCTCACTCATAGCTTTGGGAGTGAATGTGAAACAGTACATCTGGTGGTCCAGCAATTTCCCCCCTATGGGAAAGCCAATGTTCTCAAAAGACTTGGGCAAAATCATTCACATAATAGCCCCCAAATAACCCAAATATTCATAAACAGAAGAGGAGATAAAGAAATGGTGGTATATCCATGCGACGGTCTATCACTCAGCAGCAAGGAACAGATGACTCATATGCACAACACAGATGGAATATTAAGATGAGTGAAATAAGCCAGACATAAAAGAGTACATACAAGTGTGATTCTATACATGTGAAGTCCCATCACAGGTAAGTACTAATCAGTGGATTATAAAATCAGAAAATGGTTGCTGGGGTAGGTATGGTAGAAGGCAAATTAATTTGAAATGTTAAATTTCTAGAGTGAAGCAAGTAGTTCGTGTCGCATTTTGGGGGGAGCCAGTAACCAGGAATAAACAGGAATAAACTAACCGGGAATAAGTTTACTGATAAAACTCAGGGAACCAAATGAACATTTAAGATTAGTAGATTTTAATGTATATAAGTTATACTTTAATGAAAAACTGGAAAAAATAATTTTAAGCATCTATAAAATAAACACTAAAATAAATTGAAAACGTGGAACAGAATGAACATTCATTTCAAACAGAATAATATTTCTTTTACAAAAGCACCTGTAGGAATGCCTAGTCCTCCACTGAATTCATCCAGCCCCTTTCAGCCGCTCCCCACCTCATCTCAGTGATGTCTTACTTTGGCCTGATGAGAGATGCTGAAATGGAAAGAGTACCAGCCATCAAGCCAGACAAAAACGCATTTAAATCTCAGCTGCATTTTATAGCTGAGCGCCATGAGCCAGGCACTTGGGCTCTCTGAACCTTTGTTTCCTCCGCTGTAAAATGGGTTAGTGAGACCCAGCCTACCCGCTTCTGCTGCACAACCTGTAAGAACAAATCACACTTATCAAGTTCCACTAAAGGCTTCGAAGTAAGAAGGCACCCTGGGCTCTGCAGTGAGTCTAAGTGCGTGCTGCTAACAGGTACAGAAAGTCACACAGAGCCACCCCGGCCCGGGAAAGGTCACTCTACGCCCTCTGACTCTGGAGACAGGTACCTGGCTACCAGCAGGTCTTATCCGAATTGCTGTGCACACCCCTCAACCTCAGCCATTCCACCAAAAACAACCAAATCAGACTGGACAGGAGGAATATACAAAGCGTGCTCTGGGGGTTCCCAAGACAAGGAAGAGATAAATGCAGAACTAAACAGGTTCTGCCCAAAATAAATTTTCAGGGACCACAGCCCTGCCCTCGAGGTGCTCTTCCCCAGCCAGCCAGCAAGGGACTTGAGCCAGGATACTAGGCCTCCTGAGACATGGTTTGAAATCTCTTGGAACAGGAAATCCTTAGGGACACTTTCGGTCCTGCCTTAGTCAGTCACTGAACATCTGTTACTGGCAGCAGAGATAACTTGGACCTGCATCCCTCCCCCATCTGGTAGGGGAGGCAAGACATAACTTGAAACATAACCCAGAAATAACTCTGAAGAAGGTAGAAAGTACTTAGTGTAGCCGAAGCAAAGAGGTTAACCGTAACCTTTACACCCCCACCGCCCCAGGCCCTGGCCCCTGCCCAAAGCACTTTACATTTGCTTACCCAAAGAGTGAGATCTCCAGAACTACTCCTATTTCACAAGCCAGGAACCTGAGGGTCTTCCCGGAAAAATATCTCCCAGCCGGGAAGCGGCTAGGCCAGGACTCCACCCTGCATCTGCTGGCAAGAAACGCGCCTCCTACTACCAGGTAAATGAAGGAGGAAGCTAGGTCGGCTCCAGAAGCAGAAGGTGTGCAAATGACAAGTAAACCCTTAAAAAGAGCCGCCTGGGTCTCAGTTCCGTCCTTGGGGGAGGAGTGCGCTGACATCCTCGGCCCCTCCTTTCCCCGCCCACAACCAGAGAGAAAATCGGGGAATTTCAAGTGGCCCTGTTTCCTCTCTCCGTTTGGGCTGACATTTTTCTCCCCTTTACTGTTTCTTGGATGCTTTTCAAAAGTTTGTGCAATCCTTTTCTTTAGCGATTTCCCTGCCATTTGCGAACGCAGAGGGGTGTCCTGAGTGGGAAAGAGTGGCTTGAAGCGTTGAAGGGACCGTTTCGGACCCCATCTCCTCAAGTAGCAGCATGCGCTTCGGCTGCAGGAGTTACAGTGCCTGCAACTTTCCCCTCCGGGTGTTGGCGTGGTGGTGGGCTCCGAGAGCTCCCCGATATCTGTCTGTCTCTGACTCTCTCTCCCCTGCTCTCACTGTGTACCCCACCTCCAGCGCTCCACTCCCAGAGTCACCCGCTTTGCATCCTGTTGTCTGCCAGAGCCCTGCCTCGGTCCCGCCCCACAGCCTGCCTGGACCCCTCCTGCCTTTCAAGACTTATCTGTCTTAGTGTCCCCGCCGAGAGTCCCTGTTCTCCCCATCCCTACTAGGCAGGCGCCGTGGGGTAGGGGACACTCGAACACCCCGAGTCCCGCAGGACCGAGTCTGGAAGGCTGGACAGAGGCGCGACACAGGATGCGGGCAGAGACTGGGTCAGATCTGAGCGCAGAGGAAACGGGGCCAGAACAAAAGCAGGGGCGCGGGCAGGGCAGACACAGGGAAGCGCCGGAGCAGTGGCCTCCCCGCTCCTGCAGCCCCGCGCGCCGCCCAG